TTTCTATAATCAGGTAATCGTTAATTAGGTAGTAAAATAATTGCTTTTTTATAAGACTAGTATTAATTAGGAATCTAGCCTTACTAAATAGCAGGAAGCTTTATGTAATTATATTAGATTACATTAATCAGTCTCTCTTAATCAAGAATTGCCTTGATTCGGATAGACTAGGTAATATAATTTCCTTCTCCTTTAAGAGGATCGATATTATGTTTGTTGATCATTTTGAGTTCAAAAAACTTGATTGAATATTTAAAAAATAATTATTTTTGTCAAGAAAGTCGAGATTTCTTAGTGTTTCGTATAGAGAAGTAGACGCGACCGGTAAAAATCGAGTATAAATTTTGAAAACAAGAAGTCGGAGGAGCTTTTTGTTTCTCTTTAAGAGAGAGAAGTTTCTCTTAAAAGTAAGGGATTCTTCGTTAAAGATAGAAGATTAAAGAAGTAGTATAAGCCGAATTGAAGTAGGATCAATTCGGGCTTATAACCTATAAGCAAGCGATACTACGTAGGTTAGGTAGAGAGGAAGTAAGATTAATTAATCTTCTTCCTTTAATTAAATAGGAAGGATAAAATCAATTCGGCTTAGAATCATAAGATAAGAGAAAAGTAAAGTAGGACTAATTCTTGGTTAATTATATTGAATCTTGCTTATATGTTATTAACATAATTATTATCTTGGTAGAGAAAGCAGGGCATATTTATAATCAACTTGTCTCTTGTATATAATCGTTCTAGATAATATATGATGATCTTATACAGACAGATCTAGATGTATAGTGATCTTATACAGTAGCTATTTGATCGGTGGTTGCTTGATTGTACGATATCATTAACTATAGTGATGATGTAGATCGTGTCATTGACCGTAGTGATGATGTAGATCGTATACTATTGTATACGTCTTACTTGATATCATTAACCGCAGTGATGATGGTATAGCATAAAGCTTATAGAGATTTAGCTATCTTGTATAGGCCTTATGAATCTGGCTTGATATACTATATGACGGTTTAGGCATCTTGCCCTATATCTCACACCGAATATCTCACACTCTCTAACTAACTACGTATATTATAGTGTTTATTATAGCTATAGCGTATACGGCGCCGGGGTTAAAACGGAACGTCTAGTTAGTGAATAGTACACGGGAAGCCTGGTATCTAATCGCTTTAACGTAATAGGGTAAATAAAGACTCCGCTTTATTATATAATTTATATTACTACGTCGGCTAGAGAAGTTCTATAGAAGGAATTATAAAGACTAAAAAGTAGCTAGGCGGTACGTGTACGAGATCTAAAATATTTATAACGCTATAACTAAGAATAGCTACTAGGATTAGCGTTAGCGCTACTAGTATAGTTTAATTAGCCTTACTTAGATCGGCGTAATTATTTTAACCTTTAGATTCGGTAGTTTTAGGCCTCGGTTAAGGTTTATTTCCGGTTCTCTTAAGAATCTAGAATACCTCTTACGCTAACTATAATAAGATAGTCGATCGCGATCGAACGTACTACCTAGAACAGACCTCGAATAATAAATAAAAGGGTTAGAAATACTACTTCTCTTCTAACTCTAACTAGTACTATTCTATAGGCCGATAGCTAACCTAGTACTAGGTCTATACCTGAATTTATATACTAAATTTTAGAAGATTCTAGTAACCTACTTAATAAGCGTAATAGCACGTTAACTAACGGAATCGCCACAATCTGATTAACCCGCTACGCTTGCTCTCGTCGGCTAGGGAGTCAGGGGGACTGATAGCAGCAAAATCATATTGCTAGACTCGTGAATTGCAGCGTACCGAGCTACAAGAGTACCTTTAGTCGTAGTTAAAAGCTATTCTCTATCTTAGGGCTCCGATAACAGGGCGCTATAGATCAACGAGCCGACTTTTTGTTTTTATACTTACTCACGTGACCTTATACGAGTTACCTTAGGTAAGCGACGCTTTAAATATCCTTATAGTCGATAGGAGTTATGCTTCGTCTATAGAAGGTCAAGGTATATATATAACTTGCCCTAACAAGCGCACTGCTAATATATATTATCGGTATTAAGTTTCAGTAGTCTTCGATACTACTAAGGCCTTACTAGATAGTAGATCGTCCTCTAGGAGGTATACTAACCTTATACGGTAACGTAGATCTTTAGGAAGTATATATAGCGTACTATATTTAGGGGTTATCTTAGGATTAGATACTTTTAATATTACTTAATTGCTAGTATATACTATCGCTCCTTATAGATCCTATCTATTACCTTAACTATCTACCCGGGGTATATATCTCGCCTTAATAGCCGTATACGCTGCTCGAGCTCTCTAACTAACTATATATATTACAGCGTTTATTATAGCTATAGCGTATACAGCGCTAGAGTTAAAACGGAACGTCCGGTTAGTGAATAGTATACAGGAAGCCCGGTATCTAATCGCTTTAACGTAACAGGGCAAATAAAGACTCCGCTTTATTATATGATTTATATTACTACGTCGGCTAGAGAAGTTCTATAGAAGGAATTATAAAGACTAAAAAGTAGCTAGGTAGTACGCGTATAAGATCTAAAATATTTATAACGCTATAACTAAGAACGGCTACTAGGATTAGCGTTAGCGCTACTAGTATAGTTTAATTAGCCTTACTTAGATCGGCGTAATTATTTCAACCTTTAGATTCGGTGGTTTTAGGCCTCGGTTAAGGTTTATTTCCGGTTCTCTTAAGAATCTAGAATACCTCTTACGCTAACTATAATAAGATAGTCGATCGCGATCGAACGTACTACCTAGAATAGACCTCGAATAATAAATAAAAGGGTCAGAAATGCTACTCCTCTTCTGACTCTAACTAGTACTATTCCGTAGGCCGATAGCCAACCTAGTACTAGGTCTGTATCTGAATTTGCATACTAAATTTTAGAAGATTCTAGTGACCTACTCAATAAGCGTGACAGCACGTCAACTAACGGAATCGCCACAATCTGATTGACCCGCTACGCTTGCTCTCGTCGGCTGGGGAGTCGGGGGGACCGACGGCGGCAAAATCATGTTGCCAGATCGAATCCCCTAAACGCCAAGCCAAACTTTTTACAGGAAGTCAAAGAAGTCAGACGTCTGGCAACTTGCTATAGATTAGCCAGATGCCCTCATCGAGCAATGAATGACCTTGTGATGCTGGCAGGAGAGCACCATGACAAGATGTCCAGAGGCGTCCCACGGTCAAATCGTTAGAGAGCACTTGAACGAGACCTAACTACTGCATAGGGCCTACAGCTAGCTCGAGAGCTAGACTAGCCAGTTGAAATTGGCCAGCATGGTATCGAATGAGGTAGGTGCAGCGGCTGATTAGGCAATTCCTTCATACACGAAGGCTCCGTCCATGGATGGGTATGTTTGAGACATAAGCATCAGCGGATCTACAATTAAATTTCTTAAGCAGGATTCGTCACCATTTGTAACTATTAGGAGGAAAAATCGCCATTCAGGGATTTGTAATAGAGATTCGTGACCAAATCGGGTAGTTGCTTCGCCGCAGAATATGTCATTAGCTCCTTCAGCAACTATATGAAGTGCAAGGTTTGGCGGATAAGGCAATTGGTCCCAAACACGAGTTCTGCCTTAGCCTCATCATGACGGTGCGGACTATACTACTATGTAATTTGATCTGCAGATACGATTCTGTTATATGCTTTACCTGTGGGTTCTCGAGCGCCTGTGTTTGAAGTGAAACCTGATGGACACTCCTCGATTGCCCGACAATGTCGATACGCCAAAGGACCTCAACCCCGGGTTGGCCACATAGCATGCTTGCATGGCCCCTAAACCATTACTATTTGTTTTCTTCTGACCAGTGACTTACAACCCTTACAAGGCTGCCGACGAAAGTTCCGCTGCACCCGCAGTCCAAAAAATGCGCCAACTTGTCGCCTAGACGCATTAAGACGCGAATTTCATGCTTACAGCCATTCGTCTCTTCAGACCAAGGTTCCGGATATGCAATGCTTCCTGAGCGCCAAAGTTCAGATCCCAGTGATATAAACAGGAATTCACCTGACCATGGTAAAAAGCTCGTAAGTTGCGCATATAGTTCACAAGCTTCCAAGTGCATGAACTTCATATAACCGCTAGAACAATAGGCGCATGTAGAGTCGCCGCACAGCGCCAATTCCGAGAGCGAACGGTTGAGCAATTCCATATCCTCCAGTCAAAGTTCGCAAGACTGAAGGAACAAAACGAGAAGTTTTTAGGTGAACTGAGTGAGAAGTCAGCCAGAGTGGGCCAGTTGAAAGCTAAGAACGAGGAATTAAAGTAGAGCTTGCGAGTCTGCGCTAGCTGTGGCAGTCTTTATTGCTCCTTCCGCGGAAACCAAAGGCTGTGCAGATCTTGTCCCTCCTGCTTGGGACCGGAGAAGGCTCAAATACTATCCGGGTTGTGGATTTAGCTCAATGTCACTCCTGTGTAGAAGTATTGACCCTGGCGAACGATGAGGCAGATTGATGATGATAGCAAGATGACGTGGATTTGCTACTCTTCTTTGTCGGTGTACGCTTCTGAGTTATAGGTTCATTTGACAGCTTCTCACTCAATTCCAAGAAAATGCGCGTCTACGTCTCGATTCAACATTGTAGGAACGCTTGGAGTCAATCTTTCCTGAAACTTGCAAGATTTGAAGACCTATGCGAGCTACTTTCCATGCCAGCGGCCGTTCAGGGACACTTGAATTTCGACAAGCGCGCAGCTGATACCCTTTCAAAGCACCCATAACCATCAAAGTCAAGAAATTCTAGAGGAGCTGGCATGGCAGGGTCTCTTCCATTCCATTTCCGTCTATTCAGCGCAATCCTATATAGCCATTAAGAGCATTAAGTGGTCACAACGATAGTAAACCCTTCAACTAAAAAATTAAACTGCAGCTTTTGTCAAGTACCTTGTAGCATAATCCAGCACAAGAGCCAATGCATCCGCCGGGAAAGTGCTCTGAACAACCACTTTTCTTGGTCAGTAGAAGCCTTCGCGGTGGATCTGACATGGCTTCACCCCTGCAGCTAGAAATCCCTTTACGGCCGAGTCGCCGAACTCGTTGGGGCCACAGATGAAAACGTCCTTATCCTTTGGCGCGCGGTCCCAGAATCCTGACCCGACACGTCCTCTGTGAAAAGTAATCTTCACATTTAGTCCTCTAAGAGCATTTATTTCAGGAATAGGTGCCCTCGTGAAGATTTCGACACTGAACTTGACAGTCGGGGACATCTTTGCTAGGGAGGGCTGGATCAGGTGAAGCATGATATCAGGCTCCCTTGTTGATAGAACCATTAACACGTCGCCGTCAGCAGTTGGACCACGCTGCTCTAGCGCGCAAAGCATGGATAGAAATGGCGTAATACCAATACCTCCAGCTATCCATAAGGCATTGACCTTCTCAGAGCTCATGAAAAAGTCCCCTATGACGCCCACCACCTCCACACAAATAGAACCATCAAATTGAACTTTTTGTCCCGGTAGCGTTGACGCATTTGAATTGAATTTGTTGAATAAGGCACCTGTTACTGCGCCGCCGGGCCTTTTGCGCATGGTCAGCTCGAACCATGTCACACCCATACTCTCGTGGGCGCTCGAGACTGTCCATGTACGGACTCGATCATCATTAATTGATTCGGGTGCTGCATCTGCCATATGTTGGTACCGCGGTGGCCCGATCCAGTCCATGAAATCAAGCGCGATGGCCTGCCCAGGTCGTACCTTCAGCTCCGGGCTCCCAGAGCGTGTGGTGACTTTGAACTTGAAAACGGCCAGATCAGCGGACAGTCGCAGCGCCTCTTGAAGAGAAGCTTTATGTCCTCCGTTGGCACTTGAATCGGCTCCCGCCTCCTCCACCAAGTACTTGACCTTGGGGCTGTATGGACTGCGCTCTACGGATGTCCCAGGCTGCTGCCGGACAGGAAGAGCATCGCGAACAAATGTATAGCCGGTCACTTCCAAGGTTGTAAGGCTCGCATGCCTGGTCATCATCTTGAGTGCAGACGGGCCCACGTGGTTCTCGGCAATTCCGGTAAGATAAAGGATATCGCCCGATGTGAAAGAAGCGATCGTCAAGCCAGCCAATCCGCTGGACTCAATATTACCCAAACTCGAAGCAAATCGGTTGCCGGAATAGTCTGGAATGACTACCGTGCGGCCATCGGAGGGTCGAACGCGAATGAAGCCTGGCAAACCGCCTCGAGCATTCATGCCCGCATGGGAAGGATACTTATCGGCGTTTTCTTCGTCTGCGTAATATACCGATGCTATGAATGCGGTGTCTGCCTCGAGGATGAATTTGACCACCTCGTCTGGAAGTCCTTCATCTGGTAAGAGGTGCTGCTTTCGGTATGCAACAACAGGTCGGGTTTCTGGATACGGGACAAATTTGCGAACGTTGATGTACTTGGGACAATTTCTGCGCGTATGTCAGCTAGAATACTCACGAGGAAGTTGTTTGACTAGAACTTACCCAGTGGTCTCTGTGACAGTCATGCCAATGTGATAATCGGACTTTGTGACGGGCTCCACATGTTGAATGCGCCCCGCAAATTTGTTGCGCCTTCGAGTGGAGAATTCAATACCCAAGCCAGCTGTTAGCGATCTTTTCGCGATCGCATCTTTTTCGTCCTTTAGGCTGCCCCAGGATTTGACTGTATCGAGGAGGGGGTCTCCATCCCAGATCCGAGCGTACATCGAGAGCGTCGTGTCATCTGGGCTTTGAACGAACCCGATCGAGCCGTTGGGCCCAGCGACTACGGAAGCCCAAGGACGGCCGTCTCTGTCAAGGGTAGTGACCGGGATGAAGGGAAGATGAGACGTGTGAAATATCCGGTGCTGCTCCGGCATGAAATTTTTCATACTAGTCCAAGAGTTCTTGACGGCATCCGCAAACCCGAGCTTGCGCTGGATTGCCAGCTCGCCAGGATGCCATCCTTGAAGTGCTGCCATGTTTATTGCACCGGATGGTTGTTGGTTTCTACTGAAACAAGTAAACTTGGAGTTGGTGTGGGCCCAGCCGGTGGAAGAATATTATAAGAACAAGCAGTCCAATGTGACCGTGGCTTTCTTCACGACTAGCGTTTTCGATTCCGATCGATGATGACGTATTTACACGGGGATTTTCAAGGATCATCGATCGGAATCAGGAACCCTAATAATGGCGGCGCCTGAACTGATTTCAAGTGTCAGAACTTTTAAGAGGTGGAGAACCACTAAGGAGACCTTTAGGTCTTCGGAATTATTTCTGCACCGGGTGGGCGGAGCCGAGACCTAGGCGGCCAATCCAGTCGAGCTTTCTGGTGGCGTTTGATACTTCATGGATGCTGACACCAGTAGCCACTTTCGGACAGGTCATCATCCATCACATCCCTTTTCCTCTTATTAACTGTGGAGGCTTCGGAGCAGTCTATTGATAGGTCCAGGAGAATGAACCCGAACAGTCCTTCTTGCATCAACCACGGAACTCCAAATCCAATCCAAGTCTATGACGCGACAAGGCCGTTGTGTACACTGTCCCGAGGGATGACAGACTGGTTAATTAGTAGATAATACAGCTTCTTCCTCAATCCCTCTCAAAAATTGATCTCTTTTTACAAATCTTAACCAATGTAACGCCCTTCAAGCAGCACCCATCATGACTTCAGCATCACCAGTTGTCTATCACTACTTCAATATTGGTCGCCTGGGCCGCGGCGAAGTGATCAAGTGAGCTCCCCTTCTTGCAATATTTAGTATTCTTCGAAGCATAGCTTTCTTGAAGTACCGATCCCTCGCGATAAATTTCTGACAGTTCTCCAAAGGCTTTTCATGCAAGATGCTGGGATTGAATTCAAAGAGGTTCGCTATTCACTCGACGACACGTGGGCCAAGGTCAGCAAAGACCTACAGGCGCAAGGCAAATCTCGGACTGGAAAAGTCCCTATCCTCGAGATACACGGCTTGACACTCACTCAAGTTTGCTATACCCTGTCTATATGTGGAGACGTGTAGATTAGGCTTACGTGACTCACAAGCACCTCCCTATTTTGCGTTATCTCGCCCGAGACCTCGGTCGATACGACGGGGAGACCAACGCTGAGAAGTACCTCGTTGACGCCGTAGCTGACATCTACATTGATTGGAGAGTAGGTGACAATCATCCCAGCCTGGCATTTCCGAGCTAATATTTGTTTAGTCTCGTTGGGTCAAAAACCTGGATGAGAAGACTGAGGCGTACAAAGACGGATTTGTCCCTGAAAGTTACAAGGTCTTGGGCGAGTACTACGACGATTACACGGGCCCGTATCTTCTAGGCGACAAGGTCACCTACGCCGACTTCGCGGTCTACCAGGCCATCGATAATGATGAGAGAACAGGCACTCTTCCTGTATGTGTCATCCCAATTGCCCACCCCCTTTGCATACAAATTCACTCACGTGCTCTAGTCCACTCTTCCGGAGTCGCTTCGCACATTCAGGGTTGCTTTTGAACAGCGGCCGAACATTGCCAGTTACATCAAGGAGAACCTGCCGGGCGCAAAGTGAGCTGTGGTTAGGCACATAAAGAACCGCCGTGAAAGTGGGCCCTGCCAGTGAGGATCGTTCTTCCATGTATCAAACCTAACGTACGCTCAAGTTTGTATTTGGTCATTTGGAAATGGCGCACATGGGAGTTCGATCTTCAATTGGTCCACAAAAAAATGACCGTAGAGACAAAAGTCATTCTTGATTCTGAGTTACTGGAATTAATACATGCCGCGACCATTTCTAGATGCCAAAGCATGAGTCTCGTTTCTATTAAGCCAGCTAGATGTCCCACATCGTGTCTCTTTGAAACGTGCGTATATCCAAGCTTGAAAATAAAGCGCAAGAAATATCATGAAAGACCAGCGGGTGAATGCTCCAAACGCCCACAGATTGCTGCTACAGTTCCGGTATTCAAGTTAATTCCAAGCCAAACTTCGAGGCCTCCTCTCCGGAGACGAGTTCCATCCGACCACAGCTTGCGAATCCTCATCTGCAGGGTCTGAGTACGATCTTTCTCAATTGGTCTTCATCCTTCTGCAGAACCTTCGCGAAGTCTCGGGCTTGACGTTGGATCTCTCCCGGGAGTCTCTCTCCGCAAATTGACGCAGGGACATAACGAGTTCTCTGTGTGTCAAAATACCAATCATCCCCCTTCGATTGCACAGCAAAGACATTCGAGTACCTCGGGTTCGCGCTTCATCGGAAATGATTGAGATGGACTGATCGAATGAAGAAGGCGAGAATTCATAGCTTCTTCACGGCGCACGTTACAGTCGTAACAACGGGGCCGACGGTGTCACACTATGCTCTCTAATAGCTGTATAGCTGTAATCAGCCGAGGCGCTTGATCGCCTTTTTTAGCTCATTTACACTCGGGCGAGTTGTGAAGCTGCGTTTTTTGGTGTTTGGCCAGGGCTTTTGTCTCTGGCCTTGCCTTTCGTTCGTGGGAGATATTGGTTATACTACGAATCAGCGGTGCTTCCTCTCTGTCTATCTTAGCCTGGATTCACGTGACTTTCTTCTTCGGAAGGCCCTAGCAAACCCTAGCCGGGTTAGTATAAATTTGAATGTCAGGTTCAGGATAGGGTATCGTGACTGGATGAGAGGAAATAATGCCAGCCAGCCTCATGGTAGCTGGACATCTCAGCCTAGCCGCCTTGTCATGTCTCCTCGTCACAGCATATTTTTATGAACGAAGTGTGGAAAGCCTAAGACGATCTAGTCGATATAGCTTTAGCTGAGGGACAGCTGTCACGGCCAATGTTGATTCTCAATTAATTGATAACAGTGTCTGATCAGATTAAATGAACTGGTCCTGGAGACAGAGGCCTCCCCTAATTGTAAGTTCAACAGTGGAAAAACGGAGGTGGTGTTATTGTAGCAATTAAAATTCAAGTTCTTAAAATTTAAACATGAGGTCGTATAGTAGAAAGTGGTGAGAAGGTTGTTTAAACGCTGTCCTCTCTGCTTCACTCTCATTTGAATGCTTGGTTCTCAGTCAAGGTTGAGGGCGTCAGATTTTGACTGGCTGCCTCGTGGCATTAACTAATTGCAGTACTTCCTTGGACACATTGTGTCGCTCAGAGGGCGATTTAATCTGAAACAGTGAAGCAGTTTCCTGCTTGTGTATGATCAGGATATTCACCAACTGATTATAGATGATAAAGAAGGAAATCTCGATAAATTGATTCAATTCTGTCACCTTTTTTTGGAGAAAAAGATCGTTGCTTCGTTTACAGTATTAAAAATGAATTGCCCATATGGTGACGGCAGTTTTTGGAGGCCCGTTCGTTCAACGTGCCATTTTTGTCTTCTTAACATGAATCACAACAAAGATCACGGTGCCTTTTTGTGGAGGATATTATTTTCGCCATTAGATTTCAGGACCTGCAGGAATTGCGCTTCTCCTTTCAACCAGCCTTTAAAAGCGACTCTCAGCCTTTCATTTCACAAGTGCTGTCATATTCATAACACCCCCCAAGAGCAAGCCATCATTCTACAATGGCTGCTTTAGGAACTGTCGGATGCAATAAATCTTCAAAGAGAAAATTGATGCGCCAAAAACAGTATCGTCGCAAGACGAATATGATGAAAAAGGCATCTGAATATAGCAAGATGTGTGATGCAGATGTTTGTGTAGGTATTCGCATGCGCGAGACTGGTCAGGTACATATTTTGTCAGCGGATGCCTCAGGCTTTTGAGCCTTCCTTACTTCGCAATTGGTACGTAAACTACATGACATCATCCAGCAAACGGTGCGCTGACTAGTCAGAGCTCCCATTACCTGACTCCGACTGTGATGACCGATCGTGATCTGCAGGAACCCAGAGAAGAGACCGTTTCCGGAGATGCATGATAGGCATTTCCCATCGCAGATGCTATACGTTGAGGCAGGGCAATTGGAAGACAGACCACGGTTGGGGTCGCTGGTGACGAATAAATCCAACTTCTCATATACCCATACAAGTGGATGAGATATTTGCAGAATATTTTGCAAAACGAAACAGACTTTCTCCTTGGATGTTTATCAGTCTGCGAGTACAGCATGCCTCCCAGAGATCAGAGCAAGCTTGGGTCAACATTTTGAAGACATCAAAACCAGACTATCATGTGGCGACCAACTAATAGAGTTAATAGTGTAATCGTAGCTGTGGTGATGAAATCTATCAGACATATCAGCGGCCGGCTGAACGCCCATAATGCAAGGGAAACTGATATACCGAAAGCTTTCCTGCCTCCAACTGATCAAGCTACACGTATAGTAAAAAATATTAGATATATACATGGATTTATTGCCGAACTATGAACAATTTCATAACTCTTCTTATATTAGAATAACAAAGCAAACTATTCGGCATTGGTATGACAAACGCAAAAGGGCTCGTGTCCCACCAACTAGGGGCAACGAGGAACACGGGAAACTTGGGCAGAGTCATTGTTACGACTCCAGTAAATCGTAGACGCCTTCACGTCGACTTCTGCCAAGAAGAAATTGAACAAGCTGGTATCACGTTCCGAAAATGCCCTTGTGAGGAGCGTTCCATTCCACGCTCCTACGTTCGAGCTGGACAATTGATCACCTTTAGTCACTATCTCGCCCATTGCATCCTGAATATCGGTCCAGTCTGGATCATCCCATGATCCATTCCCGCAATTTGGAAACAACTCCCATCCTATACATGCTTCCCCAGGGAGACCGTTGATTTGTAGAAATTCATAATTCAACCCCAAAGAGGAGCACCGTGGAAGAGCAGCATCTCTCGTAGGGAGATCGCCGTGGCTCGTAGTGCCTCGGATGAGAGTGAAGTCCTGGTCGCGAAATTGGATTTGCTTTTTGAATGCAAATGTTGTCTGGGAAAAGGCTATCAGGCCTACAATGAAGGTAACGAGTGCACTGAGAGCAGGCATAATGCCAAGGTCGATTGATAAATGAATAGAAATAAATCTTCGAGATATATAAGGCGCAGGTACAGTTTGAAGAATTTAAGAATTTGTTATGTGGAGAAAGTCGCCTTTCCTGTTGTCACTTCCGATCAGAGGCCTGTGAGCACATTCAAGGGGTGGAGGGGGACTTCATTTTGTAGTATAGAACGTACGTACCACTTACTCAAGTAACTCAACTTGCTGAATGTCCTAAATCAGCTGTCTATTTGCAACAGATCCAAATTCGCCCAGATAAGGTCAAAATGGATACCATGACCCTTTGTTACTCTTACCCTCGATAGACTTGAATCTGCCAATAAACAATAATATAGATTAGGAGATATGGTGATGAATACAATAAAGGCTATTATATAGATCATTGGGAAACGAAAATTTGACCATGATCTTGTATTGGAATGCACTGGACATAATGTTCATGTAGCTTAGCGAATTGTGTATTACGGGTGCATAGACTCTGGTGTGCAAGTTGTTTTGCTACTGCCATTTGCCTAGGAAATTTATGTGATCCATGTCTCGTATCGCGCTTGTCCTTGATTGTCTAGTCTCCCAGAGCAGGTCCTCACATGGCAGTGGGAAATTTTGAGCAAAGGCTGACTGTCTGTCCATGTTTTTGGCCACAATGGACTAACGATGGGTATGAATAACCCGACGCCATATCAATCTTGGCGGAAATCAGATCGCGCTCAGGCTACATCACGTCAACGGTCGTACATCTTACGGACCCCATTCAGCTTGCTTTGAGCGGCAAAAAAACTCTGAGGAATATTCTGACGTTCTTATTCTTTTCTTTGCTATCATTCAAATCTTCAAATCTCCCCAATTTACTAGCGAGGCCCCTTTTTGCGAGTGAACCCGTATTTCTCCCGCTTTGTAAACCCGGCCAGCATTTTATGGATTCCCGCAGCTAAGAAGTCTGATTCCATTGAACCATTTAAAGGCTAAAGCTTCTACCTTTTAATGTGAGCCAACACCAAATGGTGCAGTGGGATAAATGCCCATCATGCCTTCAGCCTCAGACGTCTCGGGGTTCTCGGATTCCGACTTCCAACCAGATGATGATGCAGTGACAGAGGAGCAGGCAGAGGCATGGATGAGGGAATATCGAACACTGGCAAAGGCGAAACCGTTATCCAAGGAGGATATAAAAAGGCTTGGAGAGCTTCATTCTGACTTGATGAACTACAGATTTACTGACCCTGGCCGATTTGACGAGAAATTTCAGTTAAGCAACGGGATAGATCTCGAACTAGTTGAAGGAGCTTCACCAGACAATTTGAACACCAACGAAGACCGAGAAGGCCCTCTCCAAAAATCCAGCAATCATGTTGGCCAAAACGGCAAGGAACGCTATCAGGAAATATCGCAAACTCCAGATAGGCGATCAACGAAGCCCACAGATATCATCGGAAGACCAATGAGATTCCAAGATAAAACAGAGCCTGTTGGTGTCCCAGTTGCATGGTACAGCAGCAACTGGAAGAAGAATCACCAGCGGAGGATCTACCAAATTGACTCATCGGATCATTACAAGATTGGAAAGGCAAAAAATTGGGGACTTTCCGAGCTTGCGAATCTTCCCGAAGTCTCGAGCAGCAAGGAAACTATACTTGACATACCAATGAACAGCAGTCCGGTTCATCACCAATACAATTTCAGTAACATCGAAAAATTCGTCGCTGTAGTCGCGCCATACTCTGAAAACGCGAGTCATGAATTCCAACCTGAGGTACTTCTTACACGGCCGACCTATGTTCTGATCAAGTGGAAAGATATCCTTCCCCAACATCTGAAGCACTCTTCTCTAATGGGAGATTGCAAAAGTTTCATTTTGAAGAGTAAGCTTCTGGGTGCCGTTTCAAAAATCAATGGGATTACTTTGAGAGGTTGGATTGAGAACCTTCGTGGCCAAATTAAAAGTGAATAATCTGGAGCGTACGGAACGAAGATGAGCGCGGCAAGCTTCGATAAGATCTAATGGCCTCGACAATTCGGGAATATGAACAGGTAATGTTTTTGCTTTCTGTTTAGGCCCAGAACAGTTGAACGATTCTGGCGAAAGGTAGAACGCGGAAAGATCTTATCTTCGCCATCGCCGGGTATGAATCGTCGTTCACCAATGTCTCTTATCTGTGGCACTTTCTTGGGTTGCAAAGTACAGTAACTTGTGTTGGAGGTGAAAAAGATACTTATTCCAATTGATAAACTTTAAACTCGTTTCATTTGGTAGAATACAGATGCATCAGCTCTCGTGAGTCTCTAGGTTCGTCGTCGTGGTCGTACGGGGTTTGAAGGTGTAGTTTCCGGTGTACAAAACCTCTACAGTCGGTTGGTTGGTTGGTTGATGTCATTTACCCCGACCCCTCGCAGTTAAAAGCGATATGCAGGATACAACTACTTTCTAAATACATGCTGATTGATCCCTGAGATTGTTCCAAACTTTCTGGACGGTGAACTTGGAGCCTCACCTGGTAAAGCATGTCGTGGCCTTGTTGCCATTTGCGGTATTAGGCTGCCCTCATGGCGCGGCTATAATGAGTTCCCAGATAAGGCGGCCAAGAGTTGTCCGCGGCTGGCTGCATCTCCACTAGAAATCGCGAGAATGCTGGCAGTGCTGAATTTAAGAACCTGGACAATGATTGGGCGGCGGATGCGGTTCTTGGGCGTTTCTTTTTGCTTTTCTCAAGCTTGAATGGCGACGGTTTATTATGGAAACGGCGGTGAAGATCTTCGATTGTAAGTATGGGGTTGGGAGGCGTAGATTGAGGTTTAGTCGTCGGCTGCGGTGAAGATGTGGTAGGTTGCTGGAGAACAGAGGCGTAGGTATGTGGTTGGCATTGGGGGAGAGAGGTGGTTGTCGGGGTTGGTTGGATGGGTCGTGGAGGACAGGTGGCTGGTAGCGATGCTAGCGGTTCTGATTCGAGCCTGGCGGGTAGTAACTCGGCAGGAGTCTCAAGGTCGAGTTCCGCTTGGCTTTCTGGTGTGGGAGCTGTTGGTGCCGGGTAAGGTTCGGGTCGCGAATTAGAATCGGGAGCGGTGATATGAGTAGATGGGGTTGCGGAAGAGGGCGTGCCGGCGTGATTAGATGCACACGGTAGAAATGGTCTAAGGTCATGGCAAATAACTTGCCATAAGCAGTCTTCTTTGTGTATTTTCGATAAATCGCCAGTGGGGTTTTCCTGGATGGCCTTCAGCGGGACCACGGTCTCACAGGTAAAGCAGCATGCGGTGTCGCCCACTCCAGTGCGGACTTGGTGGTAGAGGCCATTCTGGGCAAGTTGATGGGGAGTAATACCAGTAAGGAGCTGGCGTTGAAATGAGATAGCTCTGGCTGCGAGGGTTGAGTAGGTGGTTGAGATGCGGAAGAGGGGCTTCACGTTGCGTTGTGGGATGGTTCGGTTAGACGGCAAGGTGGATTCGGTGGTGGGGTGGTGGGGTGAGAGGCTGCGAACGGGCTGGGGAAGATTTTGAAAGGTTTCTGGTTCCCACCAGGGCCTGGTGGATGAGACTCCATCACCTTCCGTCCTTTCAATGAATTGAAGCAAAGGAAGGTCTGCGAGATCGAGGGAGCTCAAGTACACAGGAAACTGTGGTAAGTCCGGTCTCAAGTACATATTCCGAAAAGATAACTAACGGGTTTTATTATGAAATAACCATGAAATTTTCTATCTAAAATGTGGAACTGCGAACTGGCTACATTACACAGTTCAGGTCGTAGTAAGTACATTGATGATGATCCGCTTTCTGCGTGGTGTTATAAAAACGGCAAACGATCTGTAAATGCAGATGATATGCACGTGTAAATCCAAGACGACTGGCTTATTATTCAAACTGATTGAGCTTTGGTAGCGACTACGGTTGAGTGAATCTTAAAAGCTTAACATCAAAGCCCAATTATTCAAAAACCTGTTAGCATTTAGCACACCGTCATGTTCTTGGCTCGCGGTTTTAAGACAGCCAGCTACAACACCCGACTAGTGGATACTCAAGCGAAGGTCGATAACATGAGGCAGGAATATGGCTCTATTATGTAACAGGGAGGAGGTTTTAATCCCAACAATATTGCCTGATAATATGGGAATCAATTGCTTTCACGTGATTCAGGCACCCATGCCGCTTGACACGCTACCGTCCAATTGATACATTAATTTCGCACAAGATAAATCAGTCACTGAGATATTTGCAGATGAAGCCCCATGGAATTTCTCATTGCTATTTCCACGGACATGTCAACCCTTCCATTCAGTTTCCCAGCCTTCTCCGAAATTGTTCGACCACAGAAACTCCACCTCATCCCAGACATCCCGTGAAACGTCCTGCCATTGTCTCGCATTCAAATTTTCAAGCATCCCCGCATCAACAATATCGAACTTGTGGCCTGCCAAACCGCCACGAGCGAGATATGCACCACCTTGAATACTTGTCGAACTGTCGGACGACCAACAAATTCGCATAAGAACGAGATGACCGATAGTTATTCCAGATTTGAGGTTGGTTTCAAGGACGTATTCCTGGGTAGTCAAGTTTCTCAGCACTCGATTTCTGGAATGAGTGGCCGTTTCTGCTTGATCCTTTTTTTCTTCCATGTAAGACCAAAACCCAAACTCCCGCTCAACTATATCAAACCGTAGATCGCTCGACATTGTATTGAGTTTTGCGGAGGTGAGAGGGTGGTTGTGTTCTTGCATTGCGTCCGGGAGATCCTTCGGATTCAAGCAATCACCAATACAGATAAGTGGAGCGCGAGCCCAGTCTTCTTTAATAAGGTCGCTGAGTATGTCTGGCCAGGAAGAAAAAAGCATTTCCGACAACTTTCTACCAAATACTTTTGCAGTGTAGTCGCGTTTAGAAGGGCAAGCTACCAGCCAGTATTGACCCATCGTTGGTTTGTTGAGGACTCGCTTGGACAGAGGAACGAAGGAAAGATAGATAAGAAACTCAAGCGAAGATGAAAGCGAGCGTGAGGATTAAATCTAGGAGCAGTTTCGGGTATTTATATCCTTGGTAAGATGTAAGAAGCATCAATAAAACTTCGAGTACCGTACGTCTTTGAGCATCCTCAGGCGATGGGCTATGTCAATATCAAATTATACAGTATGTGTGTGAAAATCATTTACCCTGGCCCTCAGTGAAGTCGGTTTACTAGACTGAAATACTAATTCGCAGTCTAGTATTGTAGGCTGTGATTTATATTCAGCTCTTACTGGTCCATATAGGACAGCTATTCTGTGACTCCGGAATGCAGTACATGAATGATATGTCGTCAGTCTACCACTGTTCACTTCACTTTGTACACGGTACATGGCGGGTGATATTTAGGCCATAGTCAAGACTCCGGAGCTTAGCCGGAGCATTTGCTCAATTGGCTAACCAGCCCCGTCCACTGGTAAAAGGATCGGCGAGTCGGAACTACCGATATGAAGCTAGATTTTCATAGACGCTTGTTCAATATACTATAAGAGGCAGCTCCCACCGATCGTCTAGATGTGGCCAATTTTGCTTTGACTTCAGTCTCGCAGAATGACAGTGCCTAAGCGCTCCTCACACCCGAGTTCCTTCGCTTCTTCACGGGATATTCCCTCCCCCCAGGGTCTTCACCACAATATTCTCTCTGCCTCCTGTGAGCAATCTTTGTGCGTCACTATTCCAAGATCGCCAGCGCCTTATCTTAGGAAGTCTTATCTTCCAATTCAAGTATCAGAATAATTCCTGAGAGATTCCGAAGCTACAGTCATTCTCGAAATCGCCTTGACCAGTACACACTGAGACTCTATTTCTTGGTATTGATTGATGGGGTTTTCCAATAACATCCGTGGGTTCACGGTTTCCATGTCTCCTTTTCCTGCGGTTCCCTGAGTCCCATTTTGACACGAGCAACTGCTTAGGATAGCTGTCTATTCAGGGTAATGCTAATTTGAGCTTCACTTTCCCACCAAACCCATCTCTAAAGCACGTTGGAATATCGACGTACGTTGGGGAAAGAGCCAGAGCAATGACGTCACTGAGCCTTATTGGTGGTGATCAGTAGTGGAGATTCGGGACTCCTAACCCAAAATGGACCAATGCGCCCTCGAGAATGCAAGGGCTTTGATGTTGAACAATGCGACTGTGCGGGCTACCTTGTCAGCCAGTCCTATATGGACTGCTCTGGTGGAGATCGTATCACCACTCACTCAGGCTAACTCGAACACTACTAATTCGGAAAAAAAGGTTCGGCGAAGCTGAGTGTTGAAGTCGGCATGTCAAAGATGAGGCATACATCATACAGCCCGTTGTAACTAGGATACTTGCCTGGGATTTAATTAAGCATTAGCGAGTGGAAGCAAACAGTGAAACGATATTAGGAGTTATTCCCAGCTTTTGTACTGGTATGCCATTGATGAAGCTGGCCATTATTTCGAGGAGGTATTTAGAGAACGCTATTGGCTCCGTGGCCGGCTGTTTCACGCGAATTACAGCCTCCGGGATAGCCGGGAAGGATGCGAGCGATAAGGGGTCGATGCCAGTGCCGGCCCCGGAACGAGTGAAGGCGCTTGAGTCATCTCCAATGTGCCTGGGCTCGGCCATGTCTAATTTGCTCGATATTCTTGAACAAGCCCTGTCTGCGACATCTAGCAGTGTCCGCGTTGCACTACTTGCTACTGGTGGGTTGGCCTCCAACTGCTTCGCGAGTTGATCCTTAGCAGCCTCTATCTTTGTGTCTTGCCCACAGGTCAATTATGTCCAATCTTGCGTCGACGTATTGGAGCCAGGGCCGGTGGAAAGAGGCCGAGCAGCTCCAAGTGCAGGTGATGGAGACTCGCAAGACGAAGCTCGGCGAGGACCATCCTGACATACTAACAAGTATGGCCAATCTTGCTTTCACCTGGAAATCTACATGTCAAAATACCAAAGCTATCGATTTGTTGAGGATCTGCGTAGCTAAACAGCAACGAATCATAGGTCCTGCTCATCCTGACACTGTCTCCCACTCTAACGCGTTGCTAGAATGGGAAACTGCGGAGCCGGATACGGGAGCTATATAGGGGAGCTGGATGTCGATACATAATCCATTGAAACACTACCCGCCAGTCAAAATCTGACGCCCTCAACCTTGACTGAGAACAAAGCATTCAAATGAGAGTGAAGTAGACTGTTGCACCTAAATGGTGAAGGCAGAGGGACCCCAGAGAGTATCTGTAGCAAATGGCCCGGATTGGCTACTTCGGGAAGTGGAGCGCTGCTCCCAAACGGTGGAAGCAGCGGAACAAACAAAGGTGTCGCGAAGACTACACAGCGAAATTCTTCGTCTGGGACAGTTGATTAGGCCAGCAGAGCGGCATGCCGTGCCCCATTTTTTTTGCTCCATTGATATAGCAATGCCTTTTATGAGTTTTTTGTTTATCATAATTTCATCGACAGATCAAATACGGTCATTTGAGGCTGAACGAAGAACACAAATGTGGCTGATGAGTGGCTAATTGGACTTGAATGTGGGCCAGGACCCAGGCCAGCCTCCAGGCCTTTTTGACATGTGAACAAAGGGCCGATCGTCTCGAGCAGGTAAACATATCAATAGGACAACGTACAAAAGAAGCTGAGGTGTTACAGTAAGTCGGCGTTCAAGAGCGACCGCAATATGAGCATTGGCTAGCAGACAAACGAACCCTGCATGTTTGGCATTGGAATGCCCGATAGCCGCTTAAGGGCCCGAATTGCCTTCTCCCCGAATGCATGCCTTGCTCTCATTTGGACTTCATTCAATCTATCTTCTTCCGAACTAGCAAGCCACTTTCTAATAGGTTGTACAAGTCCAAAAGCAAAGTCTGCTGCTGAGCGTAAGCGTCTACAGTATAATAATAACACGTTATCTTATTTTCCAAAACCTCAGGAATTAATCATCTTTCAGGTCATAAATTTGCTGGGAATTCTAACGTATGTAACTGCTGGTCGAATACGGTAAAATCTGAAGCTCTTTCCCAAGCTAAATCTGGATTTGTCGCACAGTACGAGACCCTTAGTGATCAAAATAAAAATGAGTTAATCTCCCACAGCCCAGTCACTTTAATACTATTCGTTTGCTCAAAAGACGTATCTGCCTTGCTACAATAATATTTCTGCCAAAGCCATCTGAAATGGCATCATTAGCTGATTTAGTCGGCCAGAAACTAGGCTTGCTTTGGGAACGCGCGCTGCACACTAAGGGATTGACGTCATAAGCCTAAGCCATGTTCGGAACTTTGATTTGTTTAGTGATTGCGTTCCCTGTGCCCGTCTACCTCTTCTGCCAGTGATTTATATTTCATGAAGGTTCGTACCATGCGAGGGGTGGACCTTTGAGCACTTGCAGGTGAACTTGATTTCCATTTCAACCATTGACTCAACTTACCTCCGCCGAGGATCTCGGTAGGCAGCCTAGACTTAGCCACGGTCCCATCGGAAATCCGGGGAAGCCTTCTGACAAGCTTGTTTTGTTAAAGAAGCATGAGGTTCTGGCGTCTGAACAATAGGTAGTGTTGGTATCACCAGCTAGGTACTGTGTACACAGTTAAGTGGACAGCGTGTATGCTATTTTTTATTCATCGCGATAATTAATAGTATATACTAGGTTTCTGTTCTAGTAGTAGTAGAGAAGGTTTCTAGGAAATCAACACCTAAACGTTGATTAAATCCTTGTATAACCTATCTAGCCTTATAGCGAATCGTTTTGTTCGCATTTGTAATATAATTAGCCTAGATGCCTATAGCATTTTTTATAGGCTTCTTTTTGAACACCTATCTACCCCTAATAGGTATTACACTAGGGGGTATATCAACAATTTCATAGGTTACCTGATCTATCAGGCTCTGATTTTCGTCCTGACAGGCCCTATACCACTTATTCCTTTTAGCTAATTGCATAGCTTAGTCAAAGGTAGAGGGTTCTTTATCAGTTACTGCCGATAATATATAATTAGTAGGCTGATCGTTGATAATAGTCTTTATAAAATCTCCTAGTAGCGTATCCGATATAGTATATATATCTTCGCTATCTTTAGTAGATTTTAGTGATAGGATTTAGATCTCTATCTTATAAGATAGATCCGCTGCTATAGCAGCTTCCTTACTAGTAGTTTGCTTAGTAGGTTTACTAGCTAATTTGCTAGTAGATAGGCTAGTAGATTTACTAGTATTTCTAGCAATCTTCTTTTTGATTAGGTTTACTGCTTAATTAGCAGATCTTTTCTTAGTAAATCGATTTTCGATTGCTTTGATTCCTAGCTCTTGATTAGCTAGATTAGATTAATTCTTCAGGAATCTACCTTCTAAGATAGTAGGGTCTCTTGACTAAACTATCTTCTTCTACTTTAGGTTATATAGCTTATAGTGCTTCTGCTCACTATAGCTAATAACAATAGCTATAGATTTTCTTGGCGATAGCTTACTAGGCAGGTTTTTGTTTGTATAATAGTAGGTAATAGATCCCTAGGTCTTTATATACCTAATAGCAGGTAAGCGCTTGTGATATATCTTATAGGGTGATTTAAACCCTAGAGCACTATATAGGGTTATATTATATAGATAGATAGTAGCTAATAAGGCTTCTCCCTATATATCTTCTTTTAATCCTAATTGGATTAATAAATATCTAATCTTATTTATAAGTATTAGGTTTATGCGCTTAATTAGGCTATTAGCTCTTTTGTATAGATAGGCGTAGTTCGGTGTATAATACCGTATCTTCCTAATAATATATAGAAGTTATTATTTACGTATTTAGTACCGTTATCGGTAAATATCTCTTTAATCTTCTTATTAAGCTAGTTTTTAACTAATTGCTTATATAAGGTAAATTTCTTAATAGCTTCGTCTTTCGATCGAAGTAGAGATATATATAGATATCTTGATACTTTATTAAGAAACGTGATATTGTGGTCCTAAGGGTAGATGGGGCATGCCCTTCTAAGTATGGTAAAGGAGAGACTATATACACATACGCGGCCGGACGGGGCCTTACGTGACTAGAGACTAAATGGGGCCTCACGTGACCGAAAGTGGCCGGAAGGGGTTAGTGGGTCAGGCCTACTAAAAGGGAGCCTAAGGCAGAAAAAGCTCCCGGGATCTTATCCTCTCCTACTAAATCTGATCTCGACCCGAGATTATTGTATACAGGCATAAAAGGGCATATATATAACTAAAGAAGGGCAAAAATAGAACAAAGGAGATATACGGGGTTTAAACCTATAACCGTAAATAAAGGAAAGTCGAAATCCGTAGATAGATTTTCTAGAACAAATTAGGAAGGAACCGAAAGTGGCTCTTTCCTCTAGAAAGGTATTATTCAAAGAAAATTAACAAATAAAGAACTCGTCAACGCAAATACGCGCTTCTTCTTCTACCCTCTCTAATACAACTCTCCTTCCTATTAATCTTGATCGATTATATTAGATAGATCTTTTAATTTTAATTAACTAGAATCTTCCTTATATAGCTTTATATATATTATATATAGGGTAGTTCGATATAGATTATCTTGCTTATACCTAATCAGTATAATATTTCGATATTAATCGAAAATAGTAGCCTTTTCTCTATTAAATAGAGATACTGAATTCTTTAGTATATATATACTTAATATATTGATTCCTAATTATAGGATATAGAGTATATTAGTTAGTTTGTAGACTAGATTAGTATTCGTCTAGAAGATAATATCTCTAGTAAGATCGATAGATAATCTTTATATATTTCCCTATATAATAGTTTTATTAGTTTTATATACACTATTAAACAAATCTAATTTAGATACTATATATATAGTAGTAGCTATATTAATAATGAAAATCACTTTTATAGTAGAAAGATCTAAATTTATTAGATTATATACACTTTCTATAGTGATATCAGAATTAGTTTCTTGGTTTGTTTTGGTAGGTAGATAAATTACCTAATCGGTTTTATATAAGAACTTATCGTAGAGTAAGAGACTTCTTAGTATATTCACTATAGATTTATTACTTAGATTTAAGTAGTCTCTTATTAGGTTTTAATCATTAAAGATTAGTAGGCTATACCTAATTAGCTATGCCTCTATTATAGGTATATTATAGTTAATTCGACTAATCGGTATATAATAGATATCACTATTAAGATTAGTAAGATTATTAGCTAATAGGCTAGTAGGTAGTAGGTTACTAGCCGAGGTTTCTTGATATTTAGCTTCTATAGGGTAATCTATTATATAACTAGTAACGTGGATTTCTTCCTCGTTAGATTGCTTATTCTTATTAAGTATCGCTATAATTATCCTCTTTTGTTTATTAATCTTTTAATGATCGATTTGATTAGATCTAGGCTAATTTACTCTAGGTATCTAATTAGCTAGTCTACTAGAAGGATATAGATACTAGTAATCTGATACTATATAGCTTCGTATATTATAATGCGTATAGTATTTACTAGAATTTGATAGTTTTTTCCACGGTTTTTTGCTAATTCGACGATTTTGATTAGCCTGACGATTTAATTAGTGATTTATCTAATAGTTAGGCTTATGATTAGCCTAGTAATTGTTTTAACGATTATTTTGACGATTGCTTTAACGATTGCTTTAACGATTGCTTTAACGATTACTTTAACGATTGCTTTAACGATTGCTTTAGCTAGTAGCTATAAAGATTTACTTGCTCGATTGAATATAACCGCGCGATTCGTTAA